ATATATCTCAAGAGATATATGCTCAAAGTCTTTGGGAAAATTAGAGGATCTCTATGAGAGGAAGATCGCTCAAAATAAAGCTTTTGCTATTAGAAAGCTTGTGAATCTGAAGCTAAAAGAGGGAAAATCAGTTGTCGAGCATTTGAGTTAATTCCAAGAGTTGGTAAATTAGTTGACCACAATGAAAATAGTGTTAGATGATGATAGCCATGTCAACGAGCCATGAGCCGAAACTCAAAGCTCGAGCTCGGCTCGAGCAAAATAAGTCCGAACTTTTTTGTGCCCGAGCCGAGCCGAGCATAGCAAAAGCTCGACCAAAAAAATGAGGCTCAACCTGAGCTTTTGGCTCGAGCCTTAAAGGGTCTAGCCGACTTTTTTTTTTAATTCATTATAAATCTATAATTTTTTATAATGTATTTAAAATTTGTGCAATTTATTGGGCCAGAGCTAGCTCAATTTTTTAAAAAAATTCGTGACAAATCTAAATTTTTTAAAAAAATTTAAAATTTGTGCAAGTTATACGTATTATAAATAATAATTAAATATTAATATATAAAAAATACTGCTTAACTTAAAAATAAATAAATACACCTCGGCTTTGCCCGGGACAAGCCCGGGCTAGCTCGGGCTTGAGTCGAACCCCCCAAAATGGGGCTCGGCTCGAGGCCAACGAGCATGAGAAGGCCCTGCTCGGGCTTTTTTCGGGCCAAACCCGGGCCGCCGAGCTTTTTTGACATCGCTAGATGATGAGATGCAATCATTATTACTTCTGAATTCATTACCTGATAGTTGGGAAACTTTGGTGGTATCACTTAGTAACTCTGCTCCGAATGGTGTGCTTAGACTCACTTTAGTTAAAGACAGTTTGTTTAATGAAGAAATGAAAACGAAAGACTTGGGTAGGAATGATACACAAGTTCTTATTACAGAAAACAGATGAAAGAGTAAAAGCAAAGGTCCTAGGGGACGTGGTAACTTCAGAAGTCAGTCAAAGGCAAGAGGAAATGTCAAATGTTTTTATTGTGATAAAGATGGTCATATAAAGAAATATTGCATGGTTTGGAAAAACAAATTTAAAGAGGAAAAAAATTAGAAGAAGACTAATCAGAATACATTAGTTAGCGGTTCAGATGAGGAAGTAGTGGTAGCAGTTTTTTCTATCGAAAATGAGCAATGTTGTCATGTTGTAGATTTGTTTGTTGAATGAGTTATTGACTCAGCGACTTCTTACCATGTTACTCCAAGATGAGAGTTCTTCACTTTATACAAAACGGATAACTTTGACAGGGTGAAGATGGGTAATAACAATTTTGCCAACATTGTGGAAATTGATGATATTTGTCTTCAGATTGATATTGGATGCAGCCTGACATTGAAGAATGTGCGACATGTTCCAGACATGCGTTTGAATTTGCTATCTATATATGCTTTTCATGAAGCGGGTTATGACATTTATTTTGGTAGCAGAAGATGAAAACTTATAAAAGGGTCAATGGTATTTGCTAGAGGAAAGGTTTGTTGCACACTTTACAAGACACAAGTAAAAGTGTGTAATGTAGCGGTGAATGCAATTAAAAGTGATTTTTCACCAGACATGTGGGACAGGCGGCTGGCTCACATGAGCGAGAAAGGATTGCAAATTTTGGCAATGAAGTCTCTCATTCCTTTTTCCAAAGGTAAATCACTAAATTCATGTGATTAATGTTTATTTGGTAAATAGCATAGAGTTTCCTTTCAAAAACCCTCTAGTAGAAAATCTAATATTTTAGATTTGATTTATTCTGATGTTTGTGGTCCCACTGAGGTAGAGTCCTTACGTGGTAATAAGTATTTTCTTAGTTTTATTAATGATACTTTACGAAAGTTGTGGATGTCTTATTTACGATCAAAAGACCAGGTTTTCTATCACTTCAAGAAGTTTCATGTTATGGTAGAACGGGAAAAGTGGAAAGGATTTGAAGTGTCTCCGAACTGACAACAAAAAGGAATACACGTCTAAAGTGTTTGAAGATTACTGCTCAGAGCATGATTTTAGACATGAGAAGACAGTTCTTGGTACCCCCACAGCACAATAACGTGGCAGATAGAATGAACCGCACTATTGTGGAAAAGGTCAAAAGTATGTTAAGGATGGCTAGGTTACCTAAGTCATTCTGGGGTGAAAAGCAGTTTGGACAGCGTGATGCCTAATCAATCGATCTCCATTAGTTCATTTGGATTTTGGGATTTCAAAAAAAGTGTGGAAAGGAAATGACGTTTCTTATTCTCACTTGAAGTTTTTTGGGTGCAAAGTATTTGCACATGTGTTTAAGGAACAAGGGTTGAAATTAGATGATAAAGTTAGTGCTTGCATTTTTGTTGGCTATGGAGATGCAGAATTTGGCTATAGACTATAGGATCTAGAGAAAGAAGAAAATAATCAGAAGCAGAGATGTAGTTTTTCATGAAAAATCAGAAGTTGGCAGATTTTGAGATATCTGGGAATCAAAGACGTGTTGATGAGGGTGTCACTGATCTTACACCTGTCTCTTTGCCTTTAGATAGTGCCACTCAGAGGGTAGAGACACACATTGACAATAGATCTTTAGATACTTCAGAGGTACTTCAAAGACGTGCTTAACTTTTGGAGGTTCAAAACCGGCTTTGGAGGGCTTTATAGATACAGACATGGCTGGTGATCTTGATGGTAGAAAATCAATTTCAGGGTACTTGGTTACTTTTGCAGAGGGAGCTGTTTTATGGCAGTCAAAACTACAGAAGTGTGTTGCCTTATCTACAGTTGAGGCTAAGTATATTGCAGCAATTAAAGCAACGAAAGAAATGCTTTGGATGAAATAATTTTTCCAAGGTTTGGGTTTGAAGCAAGATGGGTATGTAGTTAATTGTGATAGTCAGAGCGCATTAGACATGAGTAAGAATGCTACTTATCATCTTGGACGAAGTACATTGTGGTGAGATATCATTGGCTACGATAAGTAATGGCGGAACAATTGATATTGTTAGAGAAGAATCTAGTTAATATGATGACAAAGATTGTTACAAGATAAAAGCTTGAACTTTATGCTGGACTGATTGATATGGACTCTAACTAATCTGTTAGAGACAATCTCTTTCCCTAGTGGGTTGGAAGGGGAGATTGTTATATGGGCTTCTAGCCCATGAGAAGATAAGTGGCCCAAATCCCTTATATATTATATTTTAGGTGATATTATGGCTATATATATAGTTAAAAACTGTGGCTGCTCATCAACTTATACAAAAACAGAGGCTACTACATGAGTTGAAAACAGAGTCTACACATTGAAAAATAGGGGCTGATTCTGTCTTGTACAAGAGGAAAAGCAAAGAATCAAATGCTACTTTGTGGAGAGAAAGAAAATGGAGAAAAGCTTTTTTCTTTTTCTTTTTTTCTCTTTCAATATTATTTAGTGGGGATTCACACAAGTATTTTCTCCACACAATACAAATTGGGGACTTCTCTAAGTAGTGTATTTTGGGTACTCTAGGAGTGTAGTATTCAAAGTGGGTATCTCACATGTTTAATCAAATTTGTGGTTTGTGGTTAGATTATTTGTTTTCCTAGAGATTAATTATCATTGTATTCCCAATTTGTTGGGAACTCAAGTTTTAGGCATAAACTTGAACGTTGTAATTTCGATTTATTATAGTGGATTTGGCCGGAGTTGCCCTATGGTCGTTTCCCTCTACATTGGAGGGTTTTTTCCACGTAAAAATTCGATGTTGTGTTCTCTTATTTTTTGTTTTGATCTTTTACTTGCATATTTATTCACTCTAGTTAGTTGTTTGGATTGTTGAATTTATTCTTACAAGTAGTAATTGCCCAATAGTAGCCTCTTTTTAGTGTCTTACATACTTAGAGAAGGCAATGGAGTTGCAGACTATAGGCTAATAAGGGGATGGAGAAGAAGACAAAGACTGCTCAAATATTTGAAACATAGGGACATGTAAGGTACGGTTCGGGGTATCAAAAGACTTGATAAGATTCAAGTTCCTTATTTCATAAAACAAGCGAAGTAGTTATGAAATTAGACTCCGCGTCCCCCTTGTGGTGCAAGGTGTTTCAACTACTCTGATGAACGAACAATACCTACAAAATGAGGTTGGGGCTCTCTCCCGTTGATGAAGTAGTTATGAAATTAGATTCTGCGTCCCCCTTGCGGTGCAAGACATTTCAGCTACTTCGATGAACGAACGATACCTGCAAAATGAGGTTGATGCTTTCTCCCCCATTGTACATTCGGCATGAGAATTAATAGGTGGTTTTAGAACTTAGGAAGAGAAAATAGAATGGGTATTCAAATAGCCAGAGTTTTAAGTTCCATACCCGTCGTGCTTTAGGAGTATTTATATATGTCTGAAGCCATATGACTATCGGGCGGTTATGTAACACACGTCCCACGTAATGCCTTCCACTACTCCCATGTCCTGAGTCGAGGATCTCCACCTATCCAGTGGTTGGTTGTGTCCATGATAACCGCTGATTGATTCCTATCCAACTCAATAGTATTTTTATGGTTAAGTGTTGCATTGATTCCGTAGCGGTTGACGGCCCAGCATGAATGTAGAGAGCCTCATAGCGGTAGGCGGCCCAGCATGAGCGTAGAGAGCCTCATAGCGGCCCAGCACGAGTGTAGAGAGCCTCATAGCGATAGACGACCCAGCGTGCGGTGCTCTACGTAGAGTGTATATTGAATAGCCTTCTTCTTATTGACCATATTAGATAATTGTTGATGCCTCTAATATCAACTAGGAATGCTCATGTGGTGCTAATTCCTTAGTAGCTAATTTTTGCAAATATAAATAGTACTTCTATATTTATAGCTTTATTAATGTTTTCACTGACTATTTTATAATGGAGATAGTACCTTTAATATTTAGCTTTGAAAGGCCTATACAACAAAATATACATTTTTTTGCTCTTGTAATAAAGGAACTATAATGAATCCATAATGTACGAATAAAGGATAACATTCCAAACATCAGGCACTCCTGGAAGACACCAATGCACACAATCTGAATAGCTCTTGGGGTTTGCTTTTTGCTCTTCGGTTAGAGGCACCCAAAACCTCCTATGAACAGAAGGGTGAGCATCTTTTCTGTAATCTGATAATTGTGTTATATTGAGATATTCTACCTTTAAACCTCTCATTTCGAGATCGTGTATTGTTGTTTCAACTGTTTGCATCATTTCACGATCTGTTGCACTTCCCCAATACCCCTCGTTCAAAATTGGCTTGGTTTCATTATAACAATTTCGACCTGCATCCATGCCCCAATCTTCACCTCTGCAGTGTTAATAAATCCTGTTAATTAACTAGCATCTTTGCCATTTCTCTTTTTAACCAAATAGAACTAATAAACATACAAATTGTGGAAAGGTGAGAGGCTCATGAAGAACAGTTTTGTTCTAGTTCTGTTAATGTTGATATCCAGCCAGTCTGACCATGTATTCAATGCCATTTCATAGCGACGCAGTTTCATCCCGACTTCTTTATAGATTGCACCAGAGCTTTCAAATGATCCCCATCTAATCACCAGTACAGTATCAAAACACAGTATATGAGAAAGAAAAAGGAAAAATGACACTAGAGCTTGCATCATATATACTCTTGGAATATACTCACAGAAGTGTCATTTTTGGCTCCAACCACCACACAAAGGAATCAAATATGAGTACATCTGCATCTGTCCAGTGGCTAGCATGCTTCTCAATTGACTTAACTCTAATTATACGGGCTTTTACTCGATGATTTACTATGTCATCACAATTAGATTCAACCAGCAAAGGAGACCAATAGAATTCGATGGTGGCATTGTAGTCCTTCATTCATGAGTTTAACAAGAAACACATGATCATTGTTAGATGATTTAGTATCCTGAAGTGAACTTCATATGGAAAGTGGAAAATATTACTACACCCTAACTACCCTAACCTAAAAATATAAATATCAAGTAGAGAACGAAAATCCCACAAGAGAATGGATGATAAATAACAAAAAGCCTGGAGCATAGATTGATAGGTCAGGAAACACAGAAGATTTTCTTACAGTGGCTTTAAAGATGATGGAGTTGCCTTTCCAGATCAGTGATTTAGATGATGATAAAGGGATCGACGACTCAATAAGGCACAACATTGATGTCCACTGGTTTCTATTCAAGGAATCACCTACAAATACAAGCTTCTTCCCCTTTAACTTCTCCAACAATGCCGTAGCATTGAACCTTGACATAACAGAAAAACCATCAGGTTAATTGCCAAGTACAAACTTTATAGTCAGTCGTTTCTAAATGTTATGTGGGTTGTTTGCTAAGTAGTATTGGTCAGTATCAACGCAAAACGAGAATTTTAAATTTTGTCCGTTAGTTTAGTCCTGATCAATACAGTGTACCAAACATGATATTTGTATATATTGTGTAGAACTGTGGATGACAGATAAAACAGAACCTTGGAAGGTCACAGTCATGAGGTTGCCATCGCCATTGCTGATAATTCAAGTCCTTCCTACCATACTTCTCACACGCAAAGTCGTCCTCCATAAAAGAACATTGTTTCTCCTTGTACAGAGGGTAAGATATGTTATCATAAACCCATTTGCCTGAAAACAAATCACAGCGCGGAATAGAATCATGAGTTGTTGTCTGCTCTTCGAGTACCTGTCGATTATCTGCTGTTAGATAAAAAGCAGCAATCACAAAGGCTGTGAGAAGGAGGCCTGTAATGGAATGAATGTTGTATCCAATTTTCCATGTCCCAAGAACTAATTTGTGCGTGATTGCCATTTTGCACAATTTCATTAAACCACCTTGTAATCCAGAAAGCTTAATCAACAAGGAGCAAAGAATTGGAACCCCTGATTATTTCAAGTTTCAATTTAGGAGGGCATAAACCATTTCCTCAAACATGATGCTTAGATTGTCAATTTCGTGTGGTTTTTGAATTACTAAGATAGTCAATAATATCTTAAAAAAAAAAAAAGAAGAACATCTCATTCTTTGTTAGCACATAACTATCAACTTGTATAAACTAGGGGCAATTAAGTATTAACCATTTTGTGGTGAAACTTCTTTTTACTACATCTAAATCTAGAGCACATTAATATTGATTTTTTTTTTTTTTTTTTATCTTTATGCATCCCTTCTTACTCCTTAGTCTACTGCAATTTTATTCTTCGTATTGAGGTCAAGTTTATGTCCACTCCTTAAAACTTTATTACGCCGTTCTTGTTCAGGTAGAGGTTCATATCAAATTATCAATGACTCGCCAACTACTTTGGTTTGCTTGACCTTCTGTTTCTGATAGGAATGGGGAAACAGCAGTGTGAAATAACTTATGCAAGTCAACATCTGTAAATTATTAAAATACAACTAGCATTAATAAACATAAGAAGACATCATACTTGATACGTGGAAATGGATTAAATTAAAATTAATCTTAGAGTAGAGGGATACTAAAAAGAAAAGAAAATTAATGGCAGCCATTCTTATTCTATTGACGCAATTTTCCAATGTTTACAGTAAAGATTTTAATAATGATTCATTTCCGAAAACTGGCGGACCCTGGGGGATCCTTGGGGATAACGTGACCCCCAACTTTTGAATTTTTTTTTATTTTTATAAAGTCATGTTTGCTATCGATTGAAATTTAAATTTTAATCTAAATCAAAATTAACAATTAATTTTAATAACATATTTCATGGAATCCATAACTGTTTAACTTTTATCAAAATTTACTAAAAAATTGATTTTAATCTCCACCCAATAGGGACAAAATCACAATAAATTTGAATTTTTCTCTTTTCTCTTACTATTTTCCTCACGTCTTTTAACAAAATCTTAACCCTTCTAATTTTTTAAGATTTGTATATAATTTCTCTTCAAATTATCACATTTACGACAAATCTTCACTTTCCAATCAAATTTTCAAGTAATTAGAACCTAAATTTGCATTTTCTTCTATCAAACTATGTATATAGAATGAGTCTGAACTCATTATGTTCAATTTGACTTATATTTAACGAATTGTGTTTATTTGATTGATTATTAGTATTGAATATTAGTTATATCTTTTTTTCTTTTGATTACTTGAATTGATTGTTTGTATCAAATACATTATAAGATTTTTAAACGTAAATATGCATTTTCTTGTGATGAACAAAACATTAATAAAATGACTATTCGAAATTAAATGGATGAAAATGATTAGTAAAATATTAATGAAGAAATGTTTTTTTAAATGTAAATATGCATTATTTCGAGTCAAGTATGCATAATTCAAAAATCAAGAACAAAGTATTCGATTTGCACAGGGTTTGATTGTGCCCCCTAACTCAAAATGTTTGCGTCTGGCCTCTTTCCGAATGTTGACAAAAATAATACCTAATAGTTTTTCAAGACTTATTAAATTTTTGAAACGGACACTTTCTGATGCATTTGGAGCACGTAGTTGCTTCAGAACCATTAGTTGAATGAGGCTACGAATTCATGGTAAGGAATTAAATAAGATCAAGTCAAAGTCAATAAACTAATGAAAGTTGGCTAAAGTGAACTGTTTCTTTCATGCTTTCGCATGCAAAATTATTTGTAAAGCAAATGAAGCAGTAAACAACGGTGGGCTGGTCAAACTTTGCCACAAGTTTTCACCTTTGTCNTTTTTTCTTTTGATTACTTGAATTGATTGTTTGTATCAAATACATTATAAGATTTTTAAACGTAAATATGCATTTTCTTGTGATGAACAAAACATTAATAAAATGACTATTCGAAATTAAATGGATGAAAATGATTAGTAAAATATTAATGAAGAAATGTTTTTTTAAATGTAAATATGCATTATTTCGAGTCAAGTATGCATAATTCAAAAATCAAGAACAAAGTATTCGATTTGCACAGGGTTTGATTGTGCCCCCTAACTCAAAATGTTTGCGTCTGGCCTCTTTCCGAATGTTGACAAAAATAATACCTAATAGTTTTTCAAGACTTATTAAATTTTTGAAACGGACACTTTCTGATGCATTTGGAGCACGTAGTTGCTTCAGAACCATTAGTTGAATGAGGCTACGAATTCATGGTAAGGAATTAAATAAGATCAAGTCAAAGTCAATAAACTAATGAAAGTTGGCTAAAGTGAACTGTTTCTTTCATGCTTTCGCATGCAAAATTATTTGTAAAGCAAATGAAGCAGTAAACAACGGTGGGCTGGTCAAACTTTGCCACAAGTTTTCACCTTTGTCCGATGGCTTGGTCCGTGGGATTTTATTTAATTAGCCCCTGAGTATGTAACGATCGGACCTATGTGCCTAAATTGTTAATTTATGTACTGTCATTTTTGGAAGAGTTTGAACTCATCTTACCTCTCATGAATTTCTATCATGTCCCCAAATTCGAATTCAAGATCTCTGCTTTATGAAAAACTTAAGTTGAATTCTAGTACCAAAATTGAAATTTTGTCATACTTGTATCTCAATTTTATGTCATATGTTGTTTTTTTTTTTTTTTTTGTCCAATTGGTACCAAAATTCAACTTAAATTTTTCATAGCGATGAAAAGTCGTGAAGGGGTAAGATGAGTTTAGACTTTTTCAAAACGAACATTACATATAATATAAGTCGTCATAGAGTAGGCCCAGGAAAATATTACTAGACGGTGTTTAGTTCAACTTGTTATAGATGTATGTATGACTGGACGCTACTCAGTTCATATTTTGGACAAATAGTTCACAAAAATGTTAAAGCCATGCTCGAACAGATATCATCGAACAATGATCCACGTCGACCATGTCGGCCCATAGAATCATATTCAACTATTGTTTTGTGTATATGGAGATTGGACGAGCATTTTCTTGTACATTTTACGCCTTTGTATGCCCACCATTTCAGGTTCTGATCCACTTCCCTCGTTACCTTTTCCTTTAAAATTAGCTTTGTTTCGCGAAAGAAAATGTGATCCATCTTCACCGTTCCTCAATTCTATAATGAATAAATGAGATATAAATGAATTTGCACTTGTTTTTGGTTTAATGAAGTACATAAAGAAAGATTGAATTAGTAGGGTTACAAATTGTTGAGGTAAATAATTCAAATGACTACAACCATGGAATTGCTTCACAAAATAATTTGGAATTATTTTTTCCAAAAATCAATAGCAAAGTTATGCCAAAAATTTTGGGATTATGTCAACAGCTTTTATTTGTCTGCTACAGTTATGGAATTGTGCCAGAATCGGTTTCCTGCGATTTACCCTCTATTGACCATAGATCATGGGATTATTACAAATTAGTTGGCTCATATTTAGCTTCCCTTATCTGAATGCATGTTTACAAATACCAAAATTGTAATAGTGTTACGGAAAATGCCCATTAACTTTGAAGTCCTGTACCCCATTGATACTAAAAAAGATTTCCGTTCAAAATTACTAACAAACGGCCCTCGTGGGCAACTCAAAGTTGACGTGACATCCTATATGACATCAACTTGACACCTACTTGACACTTGATGATAAAATCATACCATTTCTTCTGAAGGAAAATACGTTTCTTTTATACTTGAAGCATGAAAGTACTTTAGAAAAATGATGCGATTTTATTTGTGTCGACATATTAGATGTCAAAGCAGCATTGGATGGGATGCTTCATTTATCAATCCATTGTCTAAGAGGGATGTTCATTAGTAATTTTTGATGGAATTCTTTTTTTGGGCTAACAAAGTTCGATTTAAAGTTTGGGAACCTTTTTTCACAGTGTAAAGTTTGCAAATCATTCAGGTTTTTGAGGGTTAATTCCCTAAATGGTTACTAAACTTTTCTCAAAGTTCCCACGGGTATTACAGAACTTAAAAACTGCCCCTATTAGTTACTTAACTTATTGGTATCCAATCCATGAGTGTGTAAACTATGCTTGCAAAAGGGGAAGAATTTGATAACGTTGAGCATGAATCTACCCCCATATGTGACCACTTTTTATTAATAAATTGCCCAATGCATATTTGGGTGTTTTTTAATGACTGTTGAATGCGTAGTTTTATCCAAATGTAGAGATTTTCGAAATCTGAACTTTACAAACTTTATGAGCAAGATTATCATAGTTTCTAACTAATTATAGCATGATGAAGGAAGTGAAGCTTTTATTTAAAACTCCTAACTTAGGCTATCTACCTTTTAATCTACAGTAGAAAGTAAAGTAGCCTGCTATATCCATGTGAATGGATAGCTGATGTACTCTAGGACTAGGTTCAGACTTTTTGTGTACTTTTCCATTTTGTATGTAAAAAGATGTATATGTAGACTGTAGTACGTATTATAAAAGATGAAAAAATAGAGACTCTCTCTTTTCTCCATTGCTGTTTTTTTTCCCTCTGTTCTTGAAGTTATTTGCATGTTTTCCTGAGCTCTTTCATAAAAAAGAAAGAAGCTAACACATGATTTATGTAAAAATCTGATTTATAGTTTTCAAATGCGTGCCACTTAAGCCATACCATTAGACATATCATTAAATCCTTCCAATTTTGCAAGTGTCGTTTACGTAGGATACCAATTTTCAAAGTTAAGTGACTAATGGGGGCAGTTTTCACGTTCAGTAATCCCGTGAGAACTTTGAGAAAAGTTCAGTGATCATTTATCCCGGTTTTTTACGCATATTTAATTGAAGACTGATATTTAAGGTATTTTATGGTGCATGAACTATCGCATCTCCCATATCTTCCATGGAGGCAATGCGGCTGCGCACTATTTAGATAATCAGGGATTACATCGACGGGAGTTGTGCAATATGGTGCCAAGGTGAGCTGCAATAATTACAGACTCGATAAATTATAGCTGCCATAAGTTCGTTTTAAGCACGAGATCTATGGATTTTTCAGTAAGTTTTTGACTTTCCTATTAAAGCTTTGTGATGGAATAGTAGTATCTCCAAGTTCAGTTTATTTGCAAAAGCTCTTTTTTCTTCCTCCAAGTTCGTGTTTCTTTTATGCTTAGAGGCAACACCCAGCATTAGGTGTTGTTGAAATACACTGTAAAGTCCTCAACATGCTGCAGGAGTGACTTGGAATCGATTTTTTGAACTGTGCCATTTAAATATTTTGTTGCATCAGCAAGGGAAAAGAGAATAACAAGTTCATCTAGTAGCTAGAGGAATAAAGAAAGAAGTTAAATGACGAACATAAGTCAAAGGCATTTAATGAATATGCTAATATAGTCTTCAGGATTCAAATCTGAAAGGCTTATCCATCGCAGTATACATTTTTCTTGTCTCTTGCAATATACGAACTTCATGAATGCATAATGTAGGAAAAGAGAATTGTATTCCAAACATCAGGCACTCCTGGAAGACACCAATGGCCACAATCTGAGTAACTCATGGGGTTTGCTAATTGTTCTTCAGTTAGATTCACCCAAAATTTCTTATAGACAGAAGGGTGAGCATCTTTCCTGTAATCCGACAATTGTGTTATATTGAGGTAATGTACCTTTAAACCTCTTGTTTCGAGCTTCTGTATAGCTGACTCTACTATCTGCATCGTTCCACGATCTGTTAAACTTCCCCAGTGCCCCTCGTTCAAAATTGGCTCGGTTTCATTGTAGCAATTTCCTCCAGTATCCATGCCCCAATCTTCACCACTGCAGTGTTAATGAATCATGTAAGTGAACTAACATTTTCGCCTTTTTTTCTAGTATAAGACTAGTTATCTGTTATGTAACCAAAGGAAACTGATTAACGTACAAGTTGTGATAAGGTGAGAGGCTCATGAAGAATAACTTTGTTTTAGTTCTTTTAATGTGGTTTTCTAACCAGTTTGACCATGTGTTCAAAGCCATCTCATACACACGCAGCCTCATCTCGACTTCTTTATAGATTGCATCAGAGCTCCCAAATGATCCCCATCTGAACACCATTACAGTCTTAGAACCAAAGTACATTGGAGAATCCGAAAAACGAAACAAGAGTTTGCATCATATTCTTAGTTTCTTATAATGTACTCACAGAAGTGTCATTTTCGACCCCAACCACCGCGCAAAGGAACCAAATACGAGTATATCTGCATCTGTCCAGTACCTAGCATGCTTTTCAATTGCCTTAATTCTAATTATGCAATCTTGTAGACCATGAATTCCCATGTCATCGCAATTAGATTCAACCAGAAAAGGAGCCCAATAGAATTCGATTGTGGCATTGTATTCCTTCATTGATTTAACAAGAAAATCGTCAATCAATATTAGATCAGTTGACTATCAGCAAGTGAACAGTGAAAAATAGAAAATATTACTACAGCCTAGTTATGTATTTCGAAGGCATATGGAGGACTCACAAGTTAATAATGAAGCCCTCATCACCCCAGCTTAAAAATCTAAATCTCACACGGACATTAAACGATGAAAGGTAATAGCGGAAGGTGAAACTGGAGTGATCTGAATTTTGCAGTATCTCTAAAAACAGAAATAATTATCTTACAGTGGCCTTAAAGATGATGGAGTTGCCTTTCCGGACAAGTGATAGTTTAGATGATGATTGAGGGATCGAGGACTCAATTAGACAAAGCATTGACATGAATTGGTTACGATTCAAAGTATCCCCTACAAACACAAGCTTCTTCCCTCTTAACTTCTTCAACAATGCAATAGCATTGAACCTTGATTTGACAGAAAAACCATCAGTTCAATTAACAAACACTGTCAAATACAAACTTTATAATCAATAATTAAATTTTATTGCTCTGTGTGTGTATATATAAAAGGAGGGAAGACAGAACCTTGGAAGGTCACAATCATGAGGCTGCCATCGCCATTTCTGATAATCCAAGTCCTTCCTACCATATTTCTCACATGCAAAGTCGTCGTCCATGAAAGAACATTGTTTCCATTTGTACAGAGGGTTTGATACGTTCTCATAAACCCATCTTCCTGAAAACAAATCACAGTGCTGGACAAAACCATTAGGCATCGTCAGCAGTCCCCGGAAGCATTGATTACCCCCTGTTAGGTAAACAGAAGCAATCACAAATATTATGAGGAGGAGACCTGCAAAATGAAAGTTGTATCTAACGTTCAACACTCCAAGAACTAATTTTTGTGTGCTTGCCATTTCCTCAACTTCACTGTTGTGCATCATCCAGTAAGCAATCAAACAAGAAGCAAAGAAACATCATTAAAATGGTGCCCAGTAGTTGATGTCTCGTTGTTGAATTACTAAGATAGTCAATCATTTTCTGGAAAATCAGAAGAACAACTCATTGTTGTTAGAACATTAATATCAACGAGTATGAACTATGACCAAATCAATTAATAACCTTTTTGTGCCACGATTTTCTTTTAGCTACAAGTAAATCTTGTGAACATTAGGATTGCATTTTGTCCATCCATCGTCTAGTATTGAAGGTTTGGTTTAAATATCGTATTAGAGGTAGAGTCTACGTCCCCTCAAACCTTTTTTACGCCTTTTTTTCTTATTTTAATAAACAGGTAGGAACCTGTACCAAATCCTGGTTTTAAATCTAGAAGCAACCAACAAGTAGTTTGCCTCTTTTTGCCTCGATTTGCTTGACCGTCTTTGGTTCTATGAGGAAATAGTAGTGCCAAATAACTTAAGCAAGTTAACATCTGTGAAGCATTTATTAAAATATGTGGTACTAACAAAAGGAAGAAAGCATCACAGATGAAATTGAAAAGTAACTTAAAAGTAAATCTCTAAGCAGAGGTATACTAAAAGGAAGATTATGTTAATGGCATCTGATTCGCATTCTATTAATGCAATCTTATAGAAGCTTTCTTTCTAAGATTCTCTGAAGATATGAACCCAAAAGTTCAAAATATACGAATGAGGAAACAATTGTTCAACCAATCTAATTAATTTGCCTCAATTTCATAGACATCATCATCAACGACCATATCAACATCATCAGTGAATAACATGATGTTGCTCATTAAAGAAAGTTGATCAATTTCATATATCCAATTGTTAGATTGACCTAAATCAAAGATTTGAATTCGAATTCGAGACTCCAACCACCTACAGTAATGTTATTTCATTCATCTATCAGCATTAAATGAACCTTTCATTTATTCATGCATAACTAAATGATATAGTACGTTTTCACAAGATAGATAAACTCATAAACACAAGTTATTTTGTAATGAATCATTAAGGTGTCCTCCACAAAAGAACATTGTTTCTTCTTGTACAGAGGATAAGACATCTTATCACAAATCCATTTGCCCGAAAACAAATCACGACGCTGAACAGTAGCTATCCTCTGTAGTTTCACAAAGAGTCGATTTTTCCCTGTTAGATAAAGAGCTGCAACTACAAATTCTACGAGGAGAATGGCTGCAATGAAATTTAGGTGTAAAATAGTCAACTCGAATTATATATCCTTGGACATGGATTATGGATATTCGTCCATAAGCGATGGGCTGCCAGAGAATTGCAACTATTGAGAAGTAAAGAGAGGATTATAAGGCAGGAATATGTAGTGTAGTTTGTAGGCTTAGTAATGTTGCACTAATCATTTCAAAAATGATCCATCAATTTTTATCCATTGATATCAGGTTTTCTTCTCATAGGCTCATAATAAACTGTAACTTTTTCGCCAATCATTATTTTCAAAATAGAAAAACCAGAATTTTTTTTATATGTGTGCACACTACTGGCGGGGACAAATATTATCAGGGAGAGCGTGATAATTTGCTTGTATCGAAGATAGCAAACTGATTCAGAGAAGAGAAGGATAACTCAAAGAGAAACTTTACTTTGTATCATGGATGGACTTCACCAAACGCCTCAAAGACATGATCATTTCACAAATTTCCCCAACCATGATTCCAATCGAACAAGTGTATCTAAAAAATGTTACAAGTACTATACTTAGCCTGTTTGATAGCACGAAATTTTCTAGGGAAGTTTGAATTCGTTTTCCATTTTCCACTTTTAGACTGTTTGGTAGGCTAAATTTTCCATGGAATTCATTTTCCACTCAGTTCTTGATTTTCCAGGCTACTTTTTTTTTTTGGCAATTGGAATGAATTCTATTCCCAATTGTAACGAATTATATCCCTTTAATTGACAATTTACATGAAAAACAAAGTCAAACAAATGGTATTCGGTGTGGTAATTTAATTTTTTTTTTTTTTTTTNTTTTTTTGGGTTGTTTTTTTTTTTTTTTTTTTTTTTTTTTTGGCAATTGAAACATATTCTAGACCTAATAGTAAAAAAAATTATCACTTTAATAGATAATTTCCATAAAAACCGAAGCCAAACGAACACCAAACTTTTAATATTTTCCAGGTGGAAAATTATACCAATCAAACACAATTAATTACAATTCTCAGTAAAACAAATTCTAGACAATTCAATTCCTTGTAATTCATTTTCTTTCCACTCAAATTCCACATTTGCAATCAAACGGACCCTTAAGGTTGTTTGTATATACAACAAGTACATGAACAAAGTCTTAAACGTGTATATCATAATTAAAATACATAATTGACACGTAATTAAAATATTAGTTGTAAATATTTTATTTTTTATCACATGTAATGCACGTGCACAAGTATTTACTCTTCCAGATGTGTATATGTATACTGTTCATTTGAGAAAATAAAGTTAAGCCATTTTTTCCATTTTCCTCTTGAAATTTCGATCTCTCTTTCCCTCTTTCATGGTATCAGAGAAAAAAACCATAGCCCCCTTCGATTCTTCTTCATTTCGTGATTTTCTTCATTTTTTTATTTTGATTCTTCCTTTCCTTTTGTCACAAATCTATGGCTCCATCTGATTCGAGTAATTCCACCATTTTTGAGGATTATTCCAATCCTCTATATCTCCAGCACGGTGATCATCTCGGTGCTATGCTTGTTTCTCAGCCACTTAATGGCGATAACTTTCTCATTTGGAATCGTTCTGTGTCCATGGCTCTCTTGTCTAAGAACAAGTTGTGTTTTGTCGATGGTACTGTGCCCTCGCCTTCTCAATCTAATCCTAAGTACAACGCCTGGCTTCGTTGTAACACGGTCATGCTTTCATGGCTTTTAAACGCCATGTCCAATGAGATTGCTGCATCCATGATCTACATTAACTTCGCCGTCGAGATGTGGAATAACTCAAGGAGCGATTTGCTCAGAGTAATCGTCCTCGAACTCCATAAGAATATTGCTTCTTTGAATCAAGAAGCATCATTTGTAAGTGCCTATTTTACTCGATTAAAATGTGCTTGGGAGGAAATGATACATCTCCGTCCTTTTCCTACATGCTCTTGTGGAGCTCTTAAGAAAATTGTTGAATACTAGCAAGAAGACTATAGTTTTCAATTTTTGATGGGGCTCAATGAGTCATATGCTTTCCTACGAAGTCAGATTCTACTTTCTAATCCATTTCCCCCAATTAACGAAGTTTTTTTCTCTTGTTCATCAAGAGGAAAAACAGAGAGAGATTGTTTCTGATTCTATAGTCCCTACTAAATCTGCTGTATTGTTTTCTAACGTGATACTGCTGGATCCAAATATGAAAAACCTATTGGATCTCGCAGGAATCGTCCACTTTGTACACACTGCGGTTTATTGGGCCATACTATAGATAAATGTTACAAGATCTACGGGTATCCTCCTAGATACAAACAGAAATAATGGAATTCCACTTCGAATCAAGTCAATGCTCCACCAGTTTTTGATTCAGTTTCAACTCAATTTCCTTTTTCTCAAGAACAATGTAATCAACTCCTTGCATTACTCCAAAATAATTCTATTTTGTCCTCTATGAATCAAGCAGGTATGAGCTCTGCTTTATCATTTTCTTCTGTACCTTCTACATCAACTCCTCATTTTTCAGGTATTCATGTTACTCTTTCTTCTATTATTGGTTACCATGACACCATACTAGTCCAATAGAGTCTTGGATTTTGGATTCCTGTGCCACTGATCATATGATTGGTTCTATATCCTGTTTTTCTTCCATTCGTACTTGTGTAAATATTTATGTTAAGCTTCCTAATGGTTCACATACTAAAGTCACACATATAGGCACAGTTAGGCTTTCTGATTCTCTTGTTCTAACTGATATTCTATATGTTCCTACATTTGCTTTCAACCTTATTTCTGTCAGTAAATTGATTTCACAATCATCATGTTTCTTTTTGTTCTTACATGATTTTTGCTATATTCAGGACCACTCAAATTGGAGGACGATTGGAGTAGCTAAACAAATACAAAGCTTATATCATTTGCTGCAAGTTCTAGGCATCTCTTTTGTTTATTGTAAACCTGTTGATCCTATTGTTTTTCCCTCTTGTAACTCTGTTAGTAATACTTCACATATATGGCATTGTCGTCTTGGTCATTTGTCTGACTCTAGACTCTGTGACATTACTTCTGATCTTCATAGCTTCACATATATACATAATAAACGTCGTGTTGTTTGTCCTATTGCCAAGCAAAAAAGACTTCCATTTCCATTGAGTACATTCGGTTCTATTTTTGCATTTGATCTTATTCATTGTGATGTATGTGGACCTTTTTCTATACCCTCTTATAATGGCTTCAAATATTTTTTTACTATTGTGGATGATTTTAGTAGGTGTACTTGGATATACGTCCTTAAATCAAAATCTGAAACTCAGCATTATATTCATTCCTTTTTTTGCTTTGGTTGAAACTCAATTTAACTCCAAAATCAAAAAATTTCATTCTGATAATGCCTTGGAATTTGATATGAAACAATTTTTTTGCTGCCAAAGGTGTTATATATCAACACAGTTGTGTATATACACCTCAACAAAATGTCATTGTTGAAAGAAAACATCAGCACATATTCAATGTTGCTAGGGCTCTTAGATTTCAATCCGATATCCCTCTGAATTTTTGGAGTGATTGTGTTTTGACTGTTGTTTATCTTATAAACAGAACTCCAATTCTTTCCAATAAATCACCATATAAGGTTTTATTTCTGCCAAACCTCAATATAATCATCTTAAAATTTTTCGTTGTCTTCGTTATACATCCATTCTTGGTGGATCTTCTCATAAATTTTCTGCCCGAGCTTAACCTTGTGTTTTTCTTGGTTATCCAACTGGTATAAAAGGGTATAAGCTCTAT